CCGAAAGGTTTTAGGGCTTGGCGGCGGCTCTGTATCGTAAAATGTGATGATTTCTTCTCTCTGATTTTTTTCTCTCCGAAACCAAATATATAGAGTTGGAGTTGAGGTCGGAGGAGCTCCAGGGGGCCCACGAGGTAGGGGGCGCCCCCCCCCCCCCCCTCGTGGACAGGTGGTGGCCCCCCTGGTCTTCATCTTTTGCAAGGATTTTTTATTATTTCCGAATAGATGTTCCGTGAAGTTTCAGGTCATTCCGAGAACTTTTGTTTCTGCACATAAATAACACCATGGCAATTCTGCTAAAAACAGCGTCAGTCCGGGTTAGTTCCATTCAAATCATGCAAGTTAGAGTCCAAAACAAGGGCAAAAGTGTTTGGAAAAGTATATACGACGGAGACATATCAATCTTAGCGGGAGGAAAGTACTTGGAAATAAAGGCATCTTTACACTTATTCCATGAATCAACACTATTTTTAGGCAAATATGAAAACCAAGTTTTAGCACGATCCCTAAGCGAGAACGAAAATAACTTGAAATTAACAATATCATTATCCACATCTTTTTTTCTTTTGCATATCACACAAATCAACAAAATTATTAAGATGTGATGCGGCATCTTCATTGGGAAGGCCGGAAAATTGATCTTTCATAACAAGATTCAGCAAAGCGGTATTAATTTCACAAGATTCTGCATTAGCATCAGGAGCAATCGGAGTACTAATAAAATCATTGTTGTTGGTATTGGAAAAGTCAAATAATTTGGTATTATCTTGAGCCATCGTGACAAAGCAAGGAATCCAACACACGAGCACACAAAAAGCAAACGAAGAAGACGAATGGAAGAGGGGCGAAGAAAAGGCGAATCTTTTCAAAAATCGTTTTAGAAGTGGAGGAGAGGAAAACGAGAGGCGAATGGCAAATAATATAATGCGAGGGGTGAGAGTTTATGATGGGTACTTGGTATGTCTTGGATTGGTGTAGATCTCCCCGGCAACGGCGCCAAAAATCCTTCTTGCTACCTCTTGAGCTTGCGTTGGTTTTTCCCTTGAAGATGAAAGGGTGATGCAGCAAAGTAGCGTAAGTATTCCCCTCAGTTTTGAGAACCAAGGTATCAATCCAGTAGGAGACAACGCGACAAGCCACCAAACATCTGCACAAACAAACACCAACTTGCAACCAACGCGACAGGGTTGTCAATCCCTTCACGGTTATTCGCAAAGTGAGATCTGATAGAGATGGATAATCGGTAAATAATATTTTTGGTATTTTTGGTTTATGGAATGGAAAGTAAAAGATTGCAAAAGAAAGTAAATAGGAAACTAGAATTGTAGATCAGAAACTTATATGATGGAAAATAGACCCGGGGGCCATAGGTTTCACTAGAGGCTTCTCTCAAGAAAGGAATTATTACGGTGGGTGAACAAATTATTGCCGAGCAATTGATAGAAAAGCGCAAAGTTATGACAATATCTAAGGCAATGATCGTGAACATAGACATCACGTCTGTGTCAAGTAGATCAAAACGATTCTGCATCTACTGCTATTACTCCACACATCAACCGACTCCTGCCTGCATCTAGAGTATTAAGTTCATAAGAACAAAGTAACACATTAAGTGAGATGACATGATGTAGCGGAATTAACTCAAGCAATATGATGAAAACCCCATCTTACTATCCTTGATGGCAACAATACAATATGTGTCGATTCCCCTTCTGTCACTAGGATCGAGCACAGTAAGATTAAACCCAAAGCTAAGCACTTCTCCCATTGCAATAAAAACCAATCTAGTTGGCCAAACCAAATGATAGTTCGAAGAGACTTGCAAAGATATCAAATCGTGCATAAAAGAATTCAGAGGAGATTCAAATAATATTCATAGATAAGCTGATCATAAATCCACAATTCATCAGATCTCGGCAAACACAACGCAAAAGAGTATTACATCGAATAGATCTCCAAGAATATCAAGGAGAACATGGTATTGAGAATCAAAGAAAGAGAGAGAGAGAAGAAGCCATCTAGCTACTAGCTATGGACCCGTAGGTCTGAGGTAAACTACTCACACTTCATCGGAGAGGCAATGGTGTTGATGTAGAAACCCTCCGTGATCGAACCCCCCTCCGGCAGGATGCTGGAAAAGGCCCCTAGATGGGATCTCATGTGTATAGAAGGTTGCGGCGGTGGAAAAATGGTTTCGTGGCTCCCCTGGAAGTTTTCAGGGTATAAGAGTATATATAGGAGGAAGATCTAGGTCAGGAGGCCACCGAGGGGCCCACAAGGTTGGGGGGCGCGCCCTCCACCCTTGTGGCCGCCTCGTGGCTCTTCTGACTTGCACTCCAAGTCTCCTGGGTGTCTTCTGGTCCAAGAAAGATCATCACGAAAGTTTTATTCCGTTTGAACTCTGTTTGGTATTCCTCTCCGAGAAAATTCCTTATTTGACACTGTCTTAAAATCTGGTTCCTTATTTAACACTGAAAAAGTTTTTTTTCTCTATTTGGCACTAGTCCTAAATTTTATTCCTTATACGACACTTCCGTCCATTTTGAGCCTAGATGATACCTGAAAAGATGATTTTGCCCCTCATGCGGTATATGTGTGCGCGCGTGTGTGTGCTGTTGCGTGTGTGGGTGCACGCGCACATGTGTGCATGTGTGCTGCTGTGTGTGTGTTTGCTACTGCGTGTGTACGTGCGCGCGCGCGTGTGTGTGTGCGCTGTTGTGTGCCTATGTGCTGCCTGCGTGTGTGCTGCTGCGTGTGTGTGTATGTGTGTGTGCTGCGTGCGTGTGTGTGCGCGTGCATGTGTGTTGCTGCGTGTGTGTGTGTGTGTGTCTGTGTGAACACGCGCGTGCGTGTTGTTGCGTGTGTGTGCGCGTGCGCGTGTGTTGGTGCATGTGTATGTGTTGCTGCGTGTGTGCTCCTGCCCTCGCACTGATGCTGCGTGTGTGCGCTATTGCCCCCACACAAATACCACATGAGGGGCAAAATAGTCTTTTCAGGTGTCATTTAGGCTCAAAATGGACGGAAATGTCATATAGGGAATAAAATTCAGAACTTGTGTCAAATAGGGAAGAAAAACTTTTCCAGTGTCAAATAAGGAGGCAGATTTTAAGATAGTGTCAAATAAGGAATTTTCTCTTCTTTTTTTGTGAAACTCTAAAACAAGGAAAAAACTGAAACTGGCACTGGGCTCTAGGTTAATAGGTTAGTCTGAAAAATCATATAAAATAGTATATTAATGCATGTAAAACATTCAAAACAGATAATATAATAGCATGGAACAATCAAAAAATTTAAATACGTTGGAGACGTATCAAGGCTACCCCTGCGATGTCCGTCGTCGCAAAGCTGCCAGATCTGGGTCATGCCCTCCCCCAGCAGCCGCCACCACCACAAATGCGCCCCACCGCGTCCGCCCAACATCATGACGTAGCACCACGCGTGCCGCACTTCTGTGCTCGACGCTCGCCGACGCCACTCCGCCGAGCGTCGTACACCACCTTCGGCCCCGCATCACCAGGTGAGCCTGCCCGCAAGCCACAACCAAAAGAAATGCCCCACCACCACCTTCCCTGGTGCCCTCCCGGGCTTCGCGGGTGGCTCTCTGATGGCGGCGTTCCAAGAGAAGAGAAGGGAGGAGGGCCTAATGGCGACGTCGGCTAGAGTTCCCCCGTGTCGCCAAGGATAGGCGATGCGGGGGGCAAAGGGAGACTTAAAAGTAGTCATGCCTCTACAAGTTTTGTAATCTGTAAAATATTGTAAAGAAGCTCATTTAGAGGGAGGTGTGTTGTCTTGGTCCACCACGGTACAAGGCTCCCTCTCACCTTCGTAGTCCGCCATCAAGCACGAACTTTGTTTCCCATCAAGCGTGTACTTTCTGTCTATCTTAAGAGTAGGCTTGGTATTTCAAATACTCTTGACCTATATAAGTCTCATATAGTAGCCATTCACTTCCACTCGAATACAACTCAAGCAAAAAATTATTTCAAGGCAGGTTTGGAGTTGAAGGTCATGTTTAGACACACAGTAATACTTGTATCGACAATAATTGTCACATTGTCTTTCTTTTTCTTAAAAAAAGGTCCCTTCACTTGTTGTCTTTGCTAACATAGGAGTAAGTTGTACGACCAAATCTCTATTGTTTCTTCAACCTGTAACAACAAGCGATGTGTAGATAAATCACCCGATCTACGAACAAATCTTCATTGCTTCTCCAACTCGTAACGCAGTGTGTAGATACGACCCCCGATCCGCTCCACGATACATCAAATCTCTGCTATTTCTCCAATTTATCGCAACAACGTCTACATACATCACCGGATCCGCTTCAGATACCGTCAACTCTCTACTGCTTTTCCAAATTGTAACGCCAGCGGGTAGATACAGCACACAGATCTGGAATCACACGGTGGGCGGGGCAGAGGAGCGAGTGGGGGTTTTGGTGGATAAAAACAGGGGAAAGTGGTGCTAGGGTTTTACTACAAGGGTAGAAGCAATCGGGAAGCAGCGAGAACAAAAACCACCCACACACACACAGACCCGAAAACCAAATCATCTGAGTTCACAGGGTTTTACCCGTTCCTCTCCTCCGCCATCCCCCGTCCGGCCCCGGCGAGCGCTCGGGCGGCGAGGCCCTCCTCCGCCCTCCACCCCCTCCCCCCTCCCCCTGCCCGGAGGCCAGATCGGATCAGCGTGTCCCCCCTCCGCCCCGCGACGGGCTCCTGCCCCGACCCACCGGCCCCGTCGTACCAGACGCGGCTCTGAATCTCCGTCCCCTGCCGGCTGCCGCCGCGCGCTTCATCGCGCGCTCCGCCGCTCCCGCCCCCCTCCGTCCCGCCGGCAGTCTTTGCCCATTGGGCTCCAAAGGTACGGGCTTTGCTTGTTCGATTTCGTCCTACGATTGGATAAACCCCACCGACCTGCTCAATTTCCGGAGATCCGCCCCTGGCTGCTCGGTGAGCGCTCTGTTCTCCATTTCAGGCCAAGAAATGGTGTTCCGGAAGAAGTCCGAGGGAGGATCCGTCGTCCGGCGACCTCGCAAGCCACGGGACACGACTCTGGCTCCGGTACACAGCTTTTCTTTTGTGACAGGCTCTTATACATATTTGATTCTGCATTAAACTTTCTGGGAAATGCATTTTCGGTCTGTATTGATGCCCAATTGTAATCATTCCAGGTGAAGCGCTCCGCGAGGTTAAAGAAAAAGCAGATGTATGCTCTTGATCTGCTCGCCACAGTTGCAGAATCCTTGTCCTCAGATGAGGATGATTATTCCACCGAAAGCGACCAAGATGGAGCGGAAGCAAGTCATAATTCAGACAGAATAGCTGTTAAATCAGAACAATTTGATGAAGCCCCGCAGCTCAATAGCATAGCATTGGAGAATGATTGCTCCAGAGGATATACAGTGGGCTGTGATGGTATCTGTGCCTCTCTTGGACAAACTAGCATACGCAAGACAGAGGACTTATCGACCCAGAATGTTGCTGATACAGTAGAGGGGTCACTGATAGAAAAGGCAGATGCAGACAACTTATTGACCCAAAACATTGCTGATGCAGCAGCAGAGCCACTGATAGAAAAGAAGCCAGATGTGTTTGCTGAGGGCTCATTGGTTAGTTGTACAAAACCATCTCTGTTGGATTGTGGTCTTGGCACAATTCCAGAGTATGGAACTATTGGAGTATGCCATCCTTGTTTCCCGACATCAGCAGACGTTAAACAAGTGCATCAAGCCACACCTGCAATAATCAGAAGTCTGGTAGATGGCAATGCCGCAGCTCTGCATGGTTTGGTTGACACCATGGATCTGGATGTCAAACCTTCTGTGCTTAATTCTGAGAGTAGCTCAGGAGTGCACTTGGGTGGCCATGACAATGGCCATAAGGCTTCTCCACTCTATCCGGTTCAAGTGCAGCATGCTGCAGATATAGATAATGATGAAAAATCCACCAGGTGTGTGCTTCCAAGCACCTCAGGAAGCAAGGGTGGTTATTTGTCATATAAAGGTGACTGTAGAACAAGGAGATTGTTGTCCACCAGGATGAGGAAGGCAGCTCGTAATAAGATGTGTGGAGAGCTGCCCAATAAAGGTATTTGGAGTTGATCTTTATGTCCTCCATAGCTCCGTAGTTTCCATAAAAAGAATGATATTTCTTTTGCTATTCTATATCATTTACCATGATATGGGAAAAAATGATATAAAGTAGCAAGAGAAAGATTCGTTTCTTATGGAAACTGTGGAGCTGTGGAGGAAATGAAAATCAACCACTTACAGGTTCAGCTAAAAAAAACTATATATCATTTCCGCTAGTTATAGCTGGAATTGTGCTGACTAGTGTTATTTTATTTAAAGGTAGCAAGTTCTGTGGAAAGAAGATATCCGCTACACGTCGAAGGGCGCAGATGCAACGAATGCTCAAGACAAAAAAAGTAGTTGAATGCTACTCTGCACAGCCATCTGATGAAGGGGTCCTAACTGAAAGTATGTACTCCCTCCGATCCAAAATAAGTGTTGTGGTTTTGGTTTGAACCAAAACCACAACACTTATTTTGGATCGGAGGGAGTAGTATACTTGTATTGCCATTTTGCCTGGTATTTAAAGGGCACAAATTGCTTACTATTATTCAATTGTAACATTTTACACAGTCGGTACAGATTAGCATTTGATGCACAGTATTGGATAGCCTCACTTCTTGTTTTGGTATACTTCCTAAAGTAAAATGCTGGTTGCCATTTCCAGCCAGTGGGACATCATGCTCCAGGGGAGGTCAGGATCCAACTTGTGCTTCTGAGTCCAGTCAAAGAAAGCCATGTGCTTCTGAGGGCTGTAATGGTAATCCTGGATATTCTGTAGTATTTACATACATGGAACCATTACGTGATTCTTTGACACGATGACTTACTATTGTTTTCGTTTATTTCCAGTCAAGTTCATCATCAAGTCTTTCAACATTCCTGAGCTATCAATTGAGGTCCCTGAAAATGCAACAGTTGGTTCATTGAAGGTAAAACACTATATGTGCATCAAATTGTATAAAATAATTATTGACTTATTAGCAACCATACATTCAATGTGTCTAGCAGGATATTCTCTTTATTCTTTGCTGTCAGTAATCTATTATCAGTAACATTATCTCCCATAGTTGTTTGTGGAAAACCAGTGAGCAGATCTGGCATTCCCTGTTCCACGTTGGTGTTGCATTACAGAATTAAGAATACATTACCGCTGATATCTAGCTGACTGGTTTTTAAAATTCCAGCAATCTAAAATATTGTTGTATACTAAAAGGATGATGCATTTTAGCAATAATTTTGATCTATACAACATGGAAAAATTTAGTGGCATTTTTCTGTCTTGATGTATTACCATAATTGCTTTGCACTTAAAATATCTGTTGCTGTTACCTTCTTATGGATAACATGCTTTCAATTTTGTCTTCAGAGAATTGTAATGGATGCTGTTACTAGTAAAATTGAAGGCAGCCTCAGTGTCAGTGTGCTACTTCAAGGGAAGATCATTCAAGATGACAATAAGACGCTTCATCAGGCTGGGATTTGCCACGGGGCAAAACCAGATAGCATAGGCTTCACACTGGAATGTGAAGCTAAGCAAGATTCTCGTCCTTCAGGACTAGCACCTGAAGAGATGGACTCCGCTGGTCCATCTGTTGTGAATCCGTTGTCGAAGTAAGTTACCCATAAAGGATAAAGCCACCTCTTCTCGCACTATTATACTGGAGATTTCCATTAGGTTTACTGATCAGAAAGAAGAAAAACATTACCAAGATGCTTTGCAGATGTTTCGAAATATCATTTTGCTTGATCTCTGATGTTTATGCTCATCTAAGGATTTCCTATACGCCACCATTTTCCAGGATAAAGTTTGAACAGCCTTTTATAAGCTGCACTCTGGGTGATTATCCCTATGAAGGGGCTGCGCAAGTCAGGTCAGAAATCTGCCAAGCGATCGTCCCCTATGGGACTTCAAACCCAGACGCGCTGGCCATCGTGCCAGTTGTTCCCAGGTCAAGGCAGAGGGACTTCGGGCAAAGGCGTAAGCGCAGGCCCTTCTCCGTTGCTGAGGTGGAGTTGCTGGTGGAAGCTGTGGAGCTGCTTGGTTTCGGCAGGTTTGTGCCCAGGATAGTTCTTCCATCACAGGGTCAGCGCAGATCACACCATTTCGTCTCATGTGACCCATCTTTATCTTTTTCCTTGCAGGTGGAAAAACGTCAAGAACCATGCGTTTCGCGACAATGAGGAGAGGACCTACGTCGACCTCAAGGTAATCCCTTGAAAACGGCTCAGTGGAAAAACCTCAGAGTCGCTAGCCATCACCATCTTTTAATCCTGGCACTGCTCCATTCCACAGCTAATTACCTCGCCGCTTGATGCTCCCCTGTAACTAGCTACTTGTTTGCCATGCGTATCTTTCTGCCAGTGTGAATGAAGCACTGGATTTTACTCCTCTGTCAGATCATAGCGTGATAGTATAACACAGAAACCCTGTTGTTCGTTGTTAAAACTCGCTGGAATGTGTTTTTTGGTGGAGCAGGACAAGTGGAAGAACCTGGTGCACACGGCGAGCATCCCCCCGCAGCTCCGGCGGGGGAGGGCGATCCCGCCGCAGGACCTCCTGGACCGCGTGCTGGCGGCGCAGGCCTACTGGACCGTGCACCACGCCAAGCGCGACGAGGAGGAAGGCAGAGACTAGACTGACCGATCCGTCCATCCCCGTGTAAAAAAAAAGAGAGAGAGAAAGAGAAACGAAGCAATTGCGTGTGCCTGGTGTTGCTGGATGAGAGTCAAATGCAATGTCAATGACAGTGTGTGTACCTAGGGTGCCCAGAGACCCCAGAGCGGGTCTGGGCCGCGTCTTGTTCTGTGACTGTTATGTATGGTTTCTATCTAGATTGTCAGTCAGTCAAAACCTGGTGTGGGTTCTGTCTGGGTTTGAGTATCAATCTGTCGGTGTATGTAACTAGAAAATTTATGATGGTATGAAAATGAGGCAAACTCTTTGTCTGTCTGTCTGTCTGTTTGTCCATACACACATGGTGAAGCTAGCCAGCCAGATATGTGATGTCTGTTCCTATCTTGTGTGTGGGTTTAGGGTGTCTTTGAAAGGGGATGCATGTTTCCTTGGTGGGATCTGTTGTGCATTTCCTTTGTTGGGATGGGATGTTTGTTTGCAGTGGTGTGGTAAAGAATATGATGTACTAGCATAGAAATGGCAATGTATGGGCCATGGATGGAGCATTTTGTTTCATGATGATGATCTAGGGTGGTGGATCTCAGGAAATTGGTTGCTTGGTCCATTTTGGAGCATACACGTTTGCACTTGAGGGTTGCTTGCGGTGTTGGTATGATGTAGCATAGAAATGGCAATGGATGGCCATCGATGGAATATCACCATTATGATGATGATGATCTAGAGGAGGGCGTACAGTGAAGCTAGGCCAGCAGATAGAGCTGGTTCAGGAAAGGCCAATTGGGGAAGGCGTCAGCCCTGACGTCTGACGGCGGTTCCGCTTATGTGGATACGGATCAGCACAGCATAGGATCGGGCGCGACCAAGTCCATGTTGAAGGCCTCCTTCTCCATAGCTTCGCAGAAGCGCTGTCGGGCACGCCCCTCCCTCCACAGCGATAGTCTCCGGGTTGGTCGCAATGCCCGAGACTCCCGTGGACTCCGCCGAGCTATCCTCCATGGCGGTGGGGGATGGGGGTGGGAATCAACATCTAGGACGATGGACGAGGACGAAGGCACATAGGTGAATCGAGGGTGGAGGAGAGCCATGTCGGGGGGCGGTAAAGGGAGGACGAGCATGGGAGCATGGTGGTTGATTGGGTAGACTTGGTCAATTTGGAGGGATTTGGTATGGGTCTGACTTTGTCGTATCTGACATGGAGGATGTGTCTGGGCGTTCCCATATCCGCCCCACATATGGGCTGG